TTTACCCACCTCGGAAAGATGAAAGGCTGAGTCAACCTTGAGCCGGTGAGATTTGAACCGCCGAACTGCAGTCAGTTGAAGTGGCCTGCAGGGCTGCACTCTAACCACTGCGCCACCTCGGCTTTGTACAAATCCACAATTATTAAAATGATTAAAGCTACACACTTATACCATCCTGCATAGTAAGAATTTGAGCTGATCATCCTTTCATTTCTTTCCTATCTCTAAAAAAATTTTTTAGGTAACATTTTTCTTATTTGTTTATAGGATGCTAAATATGTCAGAATCCAGTATTTTGTACTGTAACAATACTTTGAAACTAAGCTTTTTCTTCTCCTCATTTTCCACACAGGGTGATGGTTTGGAATTCAAAAGGCATTTCCTGAAGATCAAAGAGAAACTAAATGATCTTGTCAGCCCACAGAAGTTATGGCTTCCAGTGACATGATCCCCTTCTGGTTGAAAAACAAGTGAATTTGGCTGCAGTGTCTTCAGCCATAGGACAGTTTATGCTAAGGCATGCCCTGACTTCACACACTCAGTGTCCATTCTTCTTGGCTCTGACATGATTAGTAACCAATTCGGACATAATTATGTATTTTTTGTAGGGTAACCGTCATGAAAATTTCCAGTGTCTTAGATTTCGTGGGCTTTTAGCTTGCATTCCACTTTATACAGATAATTCAAATGTTTTAGCATGCCACATTTTCTAAATGGGAATATTTTTTTTTCCAAAGTGAATACAAACTGAAGTTTTGCAAAGAGCAGAAGGAAATTAAATGAAAACCAGCACCAAGCAACAACTTGCTTTGTATACTTGGGAGCTGTGCTGTTGAATTTTCAAAATGCAGCACAAACTCCATATCAGAATACCTGGCTTAGCTTGAAATTATTTCTTGGCCAAGTGTTGCCGGGGGAAAAAAAGTGACGCATGATTGTTCTTCATTTTTGAATTTTTCACTTTGAAAAAAAAGAAAAGAAAACATTACAAATGTGATCAATGTAATTTGTTAAAATATTTTTCTATGTCCAAATGCCCCTTCCCATAAAAAACATCTGTGCTGTTGATCACTAAAAATGTGGAAATTGAAGGAATGGGATAAGATTAGCAGTTTTTCCTGCATCCTATTACTCTTAGTTTGTTCCAGGCATTTCAGCCTCATATTACCGCATGTCTGGATGCTGCTTGATTGGACCATTGTGGACACAGAGAAGAATGGAGACAAAGGACACGAACCTTTGTTCTCACCATAGTGCTGACCCGTTTTACTTACCCATGTTCCAGCAATGTGATTTTAAAAAAAAAGAAAATAAAGCATAGAATGAAAATATTTGTCAATTTTATTGCCACAAAAGTTAGCGGACCTCAAAAATGACTTGTGCTTCCCTTTTCTGATCTTGTCAAATGTTCCCCTTGCACATATGTGCTAGTTGTTCCCGACTCTAGGGGGCGATGCTCATCTCCGTTTCAAAGCCGAAGAGCCAGCGCTGTCCGAAGACGTCTCCATGATCCTGTGGCCGGCATGACTAAACTCCAAAGGCGCACGGAACACTGTTGCCTTCCCACCAAAGATGGTCCCTATTTTTCTACTTGCATTTTTACATGCATTCGAACTACTAGATTGGAAGAATCTGGGACAAGTAACGGGAGCTCACTCAGTTATGCAGTGCTAGGGATTCGAACCACCGAACTGCTGACTTTTCTGATCAACAAGCTCAGCATCTTAGCCACTGAGCCACCGCATCCCTTGTCAAATATTTTTCAATAGTATTGAAGATTTTCTGAACTGTGTGATGCATTGATAAGATAGTGTGGCGCTGCAAATTTAGTAGAAATACATGTACAAACAGTTTGTGGCTACACACATGTTTTGTAGCTCATACAGCTTCTGTACTTTTGGAAACTGGGTGACTAGATTTATGTCACATCTTTGCAACTCAACGATAGGTAGCACTGCCAATTTTTCTCCAAAAAGAATCACCTTTTGAGATTTGTCAGGTGGCGAGAGAGTTACCGGCCAACGTAACCCAATAGGTTTCTAGTGGTTGAGAATAATTGTGAATTTGGGCTTCCCTGCCCCTTGTATATCTCCATCACTGGATTGGTCTTTGCTTTCTAGATACCTCTGTGTAGTCGAATTACACAATGGTTGGAAATGTATAAATAGGTCCAATTTCAATATGCTTGGTGGCCTAGTGGTGAAGATACCTGCCATTGGGAAAGTTGGGAGTTCAGTCCTAAGTAGTGGCTGATATTTTTCCCTTAAGATGCAAAGAAAAACATCTGCTCCACATTCCACGTGGTGTCAGGAAGGGCATCCAGCCAGTAAACATTCAGTTCCATCCAGTCACCCTTCCCCGACTGCAAATTAAAAGATTACAGGGTCATAAAAAGAGGTAGTGATACAGAGGTGGGTTCCTACCAGTTCGCACCTATTCGGTAGAACCGATTCGTCAAATCTACCGAACCGGTTAGAAGAGGTTCCACCAGTGGACCCGGAAAGCAGGCCACACCTACAGAAGAGGTTCTAAAATTTTTTGAAACCCACCACACACACACACAGACAGACTCACACAGAGAGAGAAAGAGAAAGAAAGGAAGAAAAATAAAGAAAGAAAAGGATGAAAGGAAAAAGGGACAGAGAGACAAAAGGAAGGAAAGAGAGAGAGAGAGAGAGAAAGAAAACACATGGCTGGCAAGCCACTCCCACCAGGTCACATGACCAGCAAGCCACTCCCACAAAGGAGGCCACACCCACAGAGTAGATTCAAATTTTTTTTGAAACCCACCACTGTAGTGATATAACTATTTTTGTATATCGAAGAAGGGAAAAGAATCAGAGATGTCATCTTGAGCTATCATAAACAAAATAATTCAATTTGGATGTACGGTAGCTTTATAAAAATCTATCCCATACAAAGCATCTTCCAATTTGAACTGCCAACTTTCAGAAAAATTGATCTTGTGAATTCAGGTCGATCCGATGTAGACTTCTAAATTTCTTATTTCACATTTGCCAGGGCTCTATTCCAATTATTACAAAAGGCATTGAAATGGTCACGTCTAAATATAGACTGTTCCGATAGGAGTCAACTATTTTATAGATCAATATCCAACTCGTCTTGAACCGATGATTAAGCTGAAATGCAAGTTAGTATTGGCATTAATTGCTCGCTTGTTGCTGGAAGATATAGGTGCAAGTTACATCAGCTTTCAACCCCTCTGGAGTTAAGATGGATATAGTTAGTTGCATTGCAATTAGTTACACAGTGTTCCATGGTCCAAGAAAATACCTACCTTGTTCACACAGTGACCTCCTTCCAAATTTGAGTTAATCATTGCTCGTTGAACTAACTTAAGCAACATTTTAGTGTATTTATTTCAGAACATTTCTTCCTGGTCTTCATGAAACTTCAAAGGTAACTGGTGTCTGATGTGATGTGGCACATGATGTGAGACTCAAGTGCCTATATTGCTCAGAGATACTTAATTCCTATTATATGCATTCTGGCTGTGAAAAGTACCTGAAATATTCTGCAATTCATTGAAAGATCACCTTACCTACAAGAATGAAGTCTTCTATACTTTCTGAAAAATGATGGTTTATTCTGGGGCTATACTACTCTATAATTTGGGGAAGGAGTTTGTTGCTCCTCACAAACCATCCCAATCTGTTCTGTCCCTTCTGGTTTTCTTTTCTGGATCCAAATTCATATACATAAGGTGTTGATTGTTACTGATTTATTTGTATTCTCCTTTGTAGTAGGTAAGTTGAGAATCAAGAAAAAGACCTGATAATTCTAAGGCCCAATCGCCTTTTTAGAAGAATAGGAACAGCATAGCATAGCAATAGCCTTTAAGCTAATATACTGCCCCATAGTGTAGTATATACTTATTGGTACCATATTATATTATTACTCTATTGCTTTGTATGTACCTTGAGAGCTTCTCCACTGGAGACAAATTCCTTGTGTGTGTAATCACACTTGGCCAAATAAAGCTGTTGTGTTGTGTTCTGCTCTGCTCTGTTCTCTATTCACTATAATTATTCTAATTCTAATTCTAATTAATTCTAATTCTATTCCTATTCTTATTCCTATTCCTATTCGAATTCTATTCTATTCTGGTTTGTAGTACTGTGGTCAGTTTACCGTGTAATCATTATTTACATATTGCCCTAAACAATCTAGGTCCTCATTTTACCAATCCCAGAATGATGAAAGGCTGAGTCAACCTTGAACCCTATCGGTATATATTATCTCAGTATCTGCATGAAAAAGAGCAACCAAACAACAAAATATGCATAAGTTTTTGAACATTTTTCACGTTTAATAGATGTGTGAATGAATTTTTCAGAATGAAACTTCCGTTGACTCAGATCTTGATTCTTGTCTTCTTGGTATTGCTGTCCCTTTTAACAGGTATGTTTATAAAGAATAAATAGAAATAGATAGATGATAGAGAGATGGATGGATGGATGGATGGATGGATGGATGGATGGATAGATGACAAAGAATGCAAAACATCGTCTATAGTTGAAATGGTTAAGCAGGGTTGAAGTTGATTAATACTTTGATAGAAACCATAAGAAAGCTGTAGATTAAACTAGGAAGTTGACAAATGATTTTGGCTGTAATTTAAAAAAAAAAACTTCTACATTGGTTCAAAGCTATCACACCATCATGAATGTTTCCATTAAATCATCAAGAGTTGCCCTCAACCCGAAGAGACCTTATTTTACTTAGACTGTGGATGTAGAATTGATTTTTTTTTAACCTCATTCCTTCTTCTGTTTGAATTATATAGCTGAAGGGCTAATATGTCATCAGTGTCACTCAGTTAGAAAGGACAATACATGTCGTAAACCATCCACCTGCAATGCATCTACAAAACAATTTTGCTTCATTCAAAGAAACTCCAAAGGTGAGAAACAAGTTAAATTAATCGACACCGGATAGAACCATTCTTCTAAACAAATAAATTTTACCAATGGAAAAGGATATTGGTAGCTCATGATTGAATTGGGGGGTCCTTGGTGCTTTCTAAGCTTGATGGTTTTCTTGCAGATGTTTCATCACTAAACTAGGTAACATCATCCGAGCATTGATGATGTTACTTAGTTTGGTAATGAAACACCTGCAAGAAAACTAAAAAAAACTCAGAGAGCACTAAGGATCCCACAAATACCGCTTTCCTTAATACGATCCCTGTACCTTTCTGTTTGGGTGAGATGCCTAGAATAGGATTCTCTATAACTGGTCAGCAACGTGCGGGTCTGGAGTCGTATGTGGCTCTTTCATCCCTCTGCTGTGGCTCCCTGTTGCTCAAAATATGTGTCACAACCACCAATGTATGACATCCGCCAGCACACAATCTTTTGAGCTTTTCGACCCCCAGTACACCAACCATGGATAAATCCAAGAAAAGAAACATTTCAGAAGAAAACAGAATGTTTAATTCAACTACATATGCTAGTTTTGTGGCCCCTAGGAAACAGTCAGGCACGGGAAGGGTTTTGTGGCTCCCTTGTGTTTTATTTTCTGTGGGAATCGGGGCCAAATGGCTCTTCGAGTGCTTAAGGTTGCCAACCCATGCTCTAAAACATAACTCTGTGATTCTAACACTGGCTTTGAAATTCACGAAGAAAGAATGGGAGGAGTTGCTCCTTAGGAAATGTCAAGTAAACAACCTATCTTATTCTAGGAATAAAATGTGAGTCAATGTAATGACAATAAATATATATTGACAGTCCTAACTACGCAGATACAGAAGATAATTGGACCCAGGTGGTTGTACTTAGGCTCCTCCCAAGAGAGTCTATAAGGAGAGACTTTGGGAGGAGGCTGTTTGCAGGATTCAAATGATATACCAATGCTGGAGAAGCTCTTGGGTGTATTTCTTATCTTGGAAGTCTGGATTGCCGACCCATGCTCTAAAACATAACTCTGTGATTCTAACACTGGCTTTGAAATTCACGAAGAAAGAATGGGAGGAATTGTGAGTCTATGTAATGACAATATATATATATAGACAGTCCTAACCCTTCACCTGTCTTTTCATTTACAGGAGGATACATTAAGAGAATAAGTCAAGGTTGTACCTCTTACTGTCTAGATACTATTCAGTTCAACAATGCCTATATAAGGTATACCTTTTGCTGCAAGACAGATTACTGTAACAAATATAATGTTTGGCAGTTTCTTTAACTTCAGTCTTGACAGGAATTCTGCTCCTGACAATTGATATGTATCTTACAAACACATACACAAACACATATATAAATATGGGTGACTTGGTGGTAGAG